CGGTAAATAGTCAGATTTTTATACAGCGCTTTTCAGCCTTCAAGGCACTCAAAGCGCTTTACATCAAGAAACCACTCACCCATTCACACACACATTCATACACCTGCGTACGTACACACTAGGGGCAAGGTGGGTTAAGTGTCTTGCCCAAGCCACTTTAAGTGCCTGGGCATCATCTGTAAGAGTTGGAATCGCACCGCCAACTTGTGAGTCAGTGGACAAATACTCTACGAACTGATCCAGGAAATTATTTTGTGTATCACCAATAAGACAGTCCTTCTGAAAGTAATATATGAGCTTCAACTACATTTCACCCCTTTCAAATTAATAGTCAGAAGTACAGTGTAAAAATGTAATTAGCATGTACATCTGTGATACAACCATAAAAACCAGAGAGATTGGTACCAGTTGTTCCACTAAACAAGATGGAAACCCATATGCACAGTGAGCCGTTGGAGCAGTCCGCAGCTGGGCAGAAACTAACCCCAAACACACCCTCTCTCCTCACACAGATGGTGCCACTGTACTGTTCACTTTATGATATGATTATCAGACATTACGCATAATTCTCACAGAAAAGGGAACACTGCATTATGTATAAAACCATAAACTTTAGGGCCAGAATGCTTTTGGTGTTTTTATAACTGATACCAATGTTTAATCTTCCTGTTTTTTATTTGCAGATATCAATATAAATGACAGCTAGTTATTGAAGTCAGCAACATTGTTATTTTTAAGTCTGGCATCAACCTAGATTTTACTATCAATTATTTCCTGTCCACAAACACGTTTTAAATCGAATTCAACAACTATTTTTAGTTTTGTTTCACACACAGAGTTGCACCTGTACTCCCTGCTGTGTAGATCAACACCGTCTTGAGCAATTTCCAACGCAATTTTACTTTGGAAAAAAAAAAACGACAACAAAGTCAGACTGAATTTCAAAGACATAGGTTCCATTAGAAAAATTAGATCACTATACAACAGCCTTCTTTCACTTTGTCAGATGTGATAATTAGAGCCCGACCGATATGGATTTTGTTGTGGCCAATATGAAACCGATATAATGGGAGTTGAAGCTGCCGATAGCCGATATAATCACAGATATATTTAGTGATGTAAAAATTCACTGTAAATCTTGAATTGATTAAAATTGGATCGTGGATTCTAAATTGGGTTTATTTAGGCAACATTTATTGTTATTTTGACTCTTTACATCATATTTACATACAGTAGATTGGCCTAATGGCATTTTTGCATCACATTCTAGCTACTAGTGATGGGTATTCCAGTTTTTTTTTTGTGTTTTTTTTTTTGAGAACCGGCTCTTTTGGCTCGGCTCACTAAAGCAGCTGGCTCTTTCGGCTCCCAAGCGACTCTTGAGATTGTTTTGTTGCAAGCAGGACTAAACCAGAACTGAACCAGGACTGAGTGTCGGGACTCGGTTTCTATCTCTCTCCTGCACTCGAGCCCAAGATTAGTCCTGGTTTATTCATTTTATGCTGAACTACAGCCAAATATGCACTTTTTTTATCCTATGCACACGCAGATTTCTGAAAGTTTCGTTTTCAGCCGCTGCTGCTGTCAAACTACGGGTCTACATGCGGCATGAAGAGAAAAAGTGAGAAAAAGAGAAAACACGGCTCCCAATAAGAAGCAGGCTCCCGTTGTTCGCTTCAAAGAGCCGGATCTAAGAGCCGCTTCGATCGCGACCGACCCTTAACTCCTAGCTAGTAAACTATCGCTATTAGCCTTTAGCCGTAAATGCTGCGCATCGCGGTAGTTAATTATAAGCATAAATGTGGATTATTCACACGTCTATTCACAGCTCATTTACATATCAATTCAGGTCCAGTAACAAATATACGGCCAATTTAGTCACTTTACAACAGACCAATAGAAAACAGCCTGTTTATGTGCGGGAGCTACAGCAGCTAACCGCTAACAAAACCTAAACTAGCTTCAAAGTCGATGTATTTCCAACACTCAGCGCTCACACAGGCTCCTCCTCACATCACAAGTCTGCACTAATAAATGTCCTTTTAATCCAGACTCAAACCGATTGTCCGAAAAAGAAAATAATCTCAGTGTTGCGCACCGCTGCGGGTGTAAACAAACACACGCGAGTGAAGTGACGTCACTCTGGTGGTGTGTTCAGGGACAGTACGGACACAGACAAATTACACCGCAGATAAATACTGATGCAGAGCCACATATTAGGACATTTATCTGTCTGTAAATTGGATTAAATGAACATAATGTAGAGAGTCTAAGCTTTATAACGAGGTATAACATGCCCACGTGAAATATCGGCCCAAATAAGCAAGCATATCGGCCGATAGCCGATATGTCTCCAGGTGCCCATATTGGCCGATAATATCGGCCAGCCGATATATCGGTCGGGCTCTAGTGATAATAAACTTACTGGGATCACATGCACGGCTGCCACACACCAAACTGAGTCTAATCTAATCCACTCATCGCAGCCCAGTCTGGACACACACACACACAGAGCACACATACAGCACACACACATACAGCACATACACGCACGCACACACAGCGCTTGAGCAAAGTGCAGATGTTCAAAGCGTTGTGAAGGAAAACGTAGTTAGGCCTTTCTACTCTTCTGATGAGGTGCCGGAAATAGCCCTCTGTCTCTGAACGTTAAGGCAGCCCCACAGCCCCACAGCCCCACAGCCCCCACAGCCCCACGTCCACAGGCACTTAAAGTGGCTTCCACCCTCTAATGACATCTCTCCACAGAAATGCAAACATCTATAAGAAGAACGCATCTGCTGACGTAATCTAGACATCTAGAGAAGGACTGGTGGGTCACACAATATACTGCAAGCCCCTTTGGCTTTCGCACATCTTATGACCAAAAAAGATTCACCATTATTTATTCAGGCTAATAGCAGCACTGTCCACTACTTAATACAATCACTCTATTTAAATACTACTCACTCTGGCTTAACCATCTTTAATAACATTTTTATGTAAAGTCATTCAATTCCAGTACGGTTCAATTAGGGAAATAAGTTTTTTGACAGACAATGTAATGGCATATATAAAGTCTAAATATAATGTTTTGCTTTGTTTTAATCCATGTTTATTTCCAAGAGAACAGTTAAATTTATTTAGTTAAGTGAACAGGAGCTGTGTACAAAAGCATTCATAAAAAGAAAAAATGCTTTGTACGAGACCATTTTCATCTTAGTACCTGAGACGAAAACGCTCAAAACAATGCAAATATACGAGTAGTACATTTCATGATAAGAGTGAACAAAACTGTTTCACTGTAAGAAAAAGCGTTACAAGGACATTTGAAACTAATGCTAATGTATCCTCTGGGGAAATTCAGGTCTAGGTGAAGTCAACGATGTGGTCAACCAATCAGACTAAAGATGTTTTCATTCAACAAAGTCATATTGGAAAACACAGTGTCCTTGGCTTGTAAATCCATCATAATGCAATAGTAACAGGAAAAATGGCTCATTTGGCTGTGGAGGCATGCTTTACAATCTCCTCTGTGTGGAACCGATTCTACACAACATTAATTTAGTCGGTCACTGGGCAGTCTGGATTATTAACTGTTGAGAGAGAAAAAAAAGTCTCATCCCTATTCAATGCTGTCATGTGATACGTCAAGATCCAACCACATCTAAAGCTTATTATCAGCTCAAACTTCCACAGCGATCTGTTAAAGGACGCTAGGGAGAATAAACCTTATGTCATGAATGGGATTAGATAAAATGACAAGGGGGGCAGGGATTATGCCACAACAGCTGAGCCAGTGTCAGGGATTATTTAGGTGAGTAAATGCAATATTCTAGCATTGCAAGGATACAATCAGAGGCCAGTGTAGTAGACAACATAAAGGACTAGAACATGTATGACTTTTGTCAAAATAACCATTTGTATGTGAAGATGTTTGTTGAGATATTTAAGATTAGTATAACAGATGACTATAACACAGCTCAAGGCCGCAGGCAGCTAATGATGCTCTTTCAAAGGCACAATATTTGTTTTTATATTTTTTCAATATTGTGTTTGCAAAAATTTAAAAAATAACGATCTACTTATTTTATAGTACAGTATTAAATATTCAGGGAAAAAAGAATGATATTTCTCTCTATATATAGATATAATAGATATTTTTTTTCTTAACATGCAGGTACTGAGCTAAAATGGTAGCATCTAAGTGCTGTGAAATAAGCAAATAAGGTTTGCTACAAATGAAATGGGACAAAAATCCCTTGTTCTTATCACAAGGAAAACAATTACTAGTATTATCCTCAGTTAATCCTACTAAGTGCCAGTCACAATATAAAAAGGGTGGTCTACATCTACAAGAATAACATAAGAAGCAACATGAACTATTGACTGACTGACCTTTCTCACACTCACAATTACTAACGGCATACACCCAGTGTCTCATGTCAATCAAATGGGTTTGTTCTGGTTCACCCCAGTGTCAACACGATGCACCACGATGACACACACTGATCTCACAGATGATGGTCACTTTTCCTTCTATTGATTACATATGTTACTAGTTTTAGAGAGCTGTTGCTAACGAGGGGCCATGGGTACTGACTGTAAATGTTATGTGTCACATTTCATCCCAGATTACTTTGCCTGGGTCTATAATTTACCATGTTTCCCAGGCGTATTATTCCATGAATTCCCAGCGGTCCTGACAATCAGTGAACAAGCAATCATCATTTATCTTGATGTCAGCCTAGGAGCAGGCTCACATGTTTGATGGGCTGGGGAAGAAAGCACAGCGTGGCCAACTGTTTTACAAGGCCAGTTACTGTTGAGGTCAGGGGAAGGGATCACTAAACATAGTTTGACCATAAAAACATGGATAATCACAGCAAGTTTCAGATTAGTTCTCATAACACTGAAGTCGCCAAAAGAAAGATACAAAAAAGGAGAAAATGAAAGACAACCACACTAAAGGGTTATTAGACCGTGCATTATTTAAGACTTACTTCATCTGTTTGACGATGGTGCTTTTCCCTGACTCTCCAGCCCCTGGGGGAGAAGAGACAAGAAGACAATGTAAACAGGCTGCATGTGTGTTTGCGTGAGCGAGCAAGATGGAGACAGAGAGGGGGGTGGGAGAGAGCAAAGAAAGGGAGAATCAGCCTCTTTAAAGCAACGTGAATAAGCAGCACTGGGTGGAGATACTAAGATGCAGAGAGAGGGACTGCAACACCATTTTCTTCTGTTCGCCGGGATCTTACTTCATTCCAGTTAATAATATAGATTAAAAGCTTACAGGTAATTTTCCACTAGGAATCAATGAATCAATGCTTTAGCACTTGTGCAGGGCCTGCTATTGCTGCCATTTTTCATGCACAGATCTGCAGTTACACAGAGATTCTAACCAAGGGCCTTGTTAAGTCTGTGTTTTGTGAAGATTAGAACAGGCTATTGAATACACTGAGTACTAGGTTATACAAGAAACTAACTAATCCCTGTGTTTATCTTGTATTTGTACATCATTAGCCTGCATAATATTAAGGTTACTTAAATAAGCGTAATAGTTGATAGGTGTAGATAGGATTTGGGATTTTATATTATACATTGAAAATTTGGTTGGCCGAGTATAAGCAACATGCCTCGTCCTCCGGTTTGACGGCTGCTAATGATGTAACATGAAAGCAGGGTGTGTTAAGGAACCAACATCCCTCAGAGAACAATCTCTTTACCACACATTGCATTTCAATTCACGTCGATACTGTAAAATCATAATCGTGCCTGATTTTGTGGCAGCCCACCCCCACACACCACACCTATCACGAGGGGTTTTACTGAACCAGGCCCGCGATGGAGAAGGGAGCAGGCGTCTCTTACCGAGCAGCAGCAGTTTGACATCTTTGGCCGCGGTCAGACCGTCCTCCTTCAGGTTTTTCTCGATGGCTTTGCTCCGGTCCAGAGCCGCCCTCTCCTCTGCGCTCAGGGTACATCCCATGGTTAGAGAACACAGCTTGATAGCCTTAGCGGTACCGGGGTCCACGGGGAAAAATACCAATTAATCACTTTAACTTGAGCGTTAACGCAAATCTCTGGCAAATCCCGCTGTCTTTCTGTGCGTAATTTCCTCCTCGTGTGCCCGCTATCTCTCTGTGGCTCTCTGGGCAGCCTCTCGCCCTCACGATCCGCTAAAGCATTTAAATCACTCGGTGAGACACGGCAGACAGCGCGCTGGTTTCTTCAGGCGTGGTGTGGATTGCTGCTGGTCAGTCGGTCCGTCCGTGCGCCTTCTCTCCGTGCTGTTCCCGTCTGTAAATCACGTTTACCGTAGTTTTCCACTCGCGGGTAGTGTGGGCTATTGGGCGGTAGTGAGCAGCGCTTGCATCGTTTGCTTCCAGCTCAGCGTGGACCTTGGTGCGGCAGGGACTCGCTGCGTACGCGTCTGCCTCCCGGTCGCTCCGGTTGGGGGTTCGCTCGCGCTCGGTTCTCCGGTCGCTCAATTGCAGCTTGCTGACGTCACAGCATTGAAAAAAGTTGGCTCGTGGGCTAAAGGCGCTCAGTGACGCCGCCTGCTGGTGTGTCAAGGCTTTACTGACATTATGTTGGGGTCATACGGCTGTAAAAATCGATCCACGGGTTCATAATTTAATGCTCAGGTGAATAAAAAATAAAATAAAATCAATAATTAAATAGCTAATTTATGAAGTCCTCAAAACTAAATGAGATTCAAAAATCACCACATAGGCCCTTTCACTAAAAAAAAAAAAAAAAAAAAAAAAAAAAAAAAAAAAATCCATTATGAGTTTCTTCTTTTTGTGTTCTGGGAAAAATCTGCACCAAAAAGAAAGCAACCTGAACTATTAAGAATCAGACAGCGGTACACCACATGTAGGGCCTACCAGTTCTTTAAATAAGAAGCTGTGTTTTGGTTTTGTTTAATTGAGATACAATCTATGTTAACAACCAAAAAAAGTTGGAAAAAACATTGATCTACTAGGCTACACAGGTGCATACTTTATATTATCATTAGCCTCTTACAGATAGTTTTATTTTTCAGAACTCTTGAGGAAATGTGATCTTATTTGTACAAAAGATTGCCGACCTATTATTTAAAATGTCAAGACTATAGACATGTCAAATTCAATAGCCTACTTGTCTCAACATCACCTTTATACAATGTGCTTAATGAATACAATATTGATCTTTCTTAAGTAGCCAAGCAGCCATCAGCCAAGAAGCCTATAGGCTACTTGCCGCATTACAATCCTGTCACTTATTGAACAAAATGACCTTGTTCTCTGTCTTTGGGCTGCTCACATTAATAATGTAACATTTATTGTAATTACATTAGCTTCCACATGCTACATACATCTTTGTGGAACAGTTCTCCTTTACCAACTGTCTCTTTTTTGCTTCAATATTAGAGAATTTGAAGATTCAAAGATATATCGATCCTGTGATTAGCCTATGGCCTAGGCTTAAACAGGCGAAACAGTTCTATGTTAAATATTTACAAACAAGCCAAACACTAACTCCAAAATAGGAATCCTGATGTGTGTGTTTTGGAGCTCAACATCTGTAAATGTTATGGAAGTTATGGTTTATTTATTGTTGCTATCGGGGCTCTCATCTGCCCTCACAGAGAACAGAGGCAGCTGTTTCCTGTAAACACCATAGTGATGCCATGCCCTGCATGACATGGCAGTTAGGCCAAGTAAATGGTGCAGGAAGTCAGCCACAATCTGTGAACATAGGAGCCACATGCTGCTGTAACTAACTACCACTGAAGGTTCTGCATGTTTCTGTGGTACACTCTAAAGTCACAGATCATTTATTCTCTGTGACCATATAGAGGGAAAGCATCACAGTGAAATACATTATTTACAGCCCATCAGATGCACAAACAAGAAACAAACAGTTCTGGGTTTGTCCCTATGTGAAAAAGCACTAGGCCAGCATTGTTGTTAGGCCTATATGTTCCTTAAATGAGTGAAAAGTTGTCAAAATCTCATGTCATGTTTTCTTTTAAAGTTAATATGTTGGGAAACCGTGATAACAAGCACCCAGCGCTGTGAGAGCCAGAGGTCGGTGCTCTGTGTGGGCTTTCAAAAACAACACACCTACTGCTGCTTCCTGACTCGGACACTGTGGAAAAGTGTGGGCTGAAAAACATTTCTTTAAATAATATTATCTGCCCAAATCTACTGTATTTGTATTGAAACAGTAGGGGTTTGTGCTGTACACCTGCAGACATATTGTATAAATGCCACTTTTGGATACTGGCCTGCTGTATAATGTATTAGGTGCCTTTTATCATGACTCAGGACATAGTAATATTGATGAAAATATTATTATTATTAGTGTCTGATCTGAAACATCCACAAAATGCTTAAAGAATATTGTGATACAGTGGATTTCCCGTACGCATTTTTGTTTTGTTTGATTTTGATGTTGTCTTTAGTGTCATAATGATTAAACTATTAGGGGATTTGTACTGGCTGTTCAGAGGAGAGAGAGTCTGCAGCCAAATAAAAACAACATCTTGATTTATCTTGTTTTAGAGCAAAAACTTCTTTTAGTGTGAACTTCAGAATCAGCATATATTCTCATAAACACTTGGTGCTCAAAGGCTCAGGGAGTGAGCTGGGTACAAGAGTCTTGCTGTGTACCGACTTTGCCTCCTTCACTCAGTTTTATGCAGAGATGGTTGATACAAGTGTCCTGAAAGCGCATAGTTAAAGTCTCATATCATGCAAAATTGACTCTTGGGAGCTTTTAGTCATGTTGTTACCTCATCAAAAATGCTATGTTAACTCTTCAAAAACTGACCTGGAGTTGTGTTTTGTTTCATTCACATATGTTTGAGTAATTCTTTATTATTAGTCTGTCTACATCTCCAAAGCTCAAAATGCTCTGCTCCATCATATGATGTCAAGTAGTACTAGTTTTCAAGTTAACAACTACTTTTTATCTTTGGTTTAGTAGAGATGAGCAATGCCAGGGTTGAACATATCCAAATGATTCTAGTGAAAGTGTATAGAGTTTAAAAATATGACAGAGCCCTTCCTTATATTGCTTTAGAACTAAATGTAACCCAAAATAAACCATAAACAGATTTTTTTTTGGGTGGAGGAAGCTGAGTAAAGTATGGGACAAATATCTGAAACGTATGATATAGTTTAATTTTTGTATAGATCCAAAGTACTTATGCCACGTAGGCTACTTCACAGCTCCAAACAGCAGTGGGACAAATATTATAGTGCGTGTCATCCAGCTGCTGGCGTTTAGCTGTGAGACAGATGCTACTCATGACTGTAAAGTAAAAGATTTTTTTTATTATAGTTTCAGACTGACTGAAAAGGCTGAGGGACTTGAACACATTTGTAGTTTAAGCAAACAAAATACACAAATAAAAAAAAACTGATTAAATTTTTTCTGCTGATCAAAATTCAGCACAAATTTCTATCAAAATCACTGCATTTGAAGCTTTATAAGATCTCAAAATCTGAGCTAAATACTTTTACTTTTTACTCTTACAGTACATTTTTAAACAGGTACTTTAATACTTTTACTTAAGTAGATTTTTCATGTGATGCTTTTACTTCTACCTGAGTATTTTTTTTTTGTCCTAGTGTCTTTACTTTTACATAAGTAACAAAATTGACAACTTCTTCCACCACTGTCAAAACACATGACCACATACATGTTGAAACACCACAAACGACTGTTGAGCATGTGTCCTATATACAGTAGACAGTCACAATAACACATTTTGAAGCATGATATACTGCTACAGAAAAATACTACAATAAACTATAATACTGAAAGTACTTCATGGCACTGACACAATGCAAGATAATCCCAGTAAACAAATTAATCTGTCTATTTCCGTCAAACACCAAACAGCCCTGCTCATAGAGAGTGTCTGAGAGGTCATGTCCCTGCTGTGCTCTGATGATCCCCTATAGATAAAGATATTATCTGTGAGTGACAGTGAACAGGATGTGGTAATGCACTGAACACATTAAGGTTATATGTAATGTAGCATCTTCAGACACACTAATATGCCACTTTGAGACATATTTTTGTAGCACTTTATAATAACTCAAGTTTTAATAACGCTTGAACAAATGCTTAATTTCTATTACACAAATTATTGATTGAGTATGATGAATATCTTTCTAACCCTTTAATTAAATAGTTCTAAGCTTGAATCTTCTTAATAAACTATTTGTTTATCATAGTTATTGTGATCAATGTTTTATGCCAGCCTTTTTGTTTTATTATACGTCAGCAGGTTCCACAGTCACCACCACTCATGCACGTATAAAAGGAAGACATAAAAAATGTAGTAGAGTTTCAACTCAAGTGGCCCAGTCACATCAACATGGCCACCGCTACAGTTTAAGATGACTTCTTCTAAGAACGCCGAGTTCTCTTCTGTTTGTTTAGAAAACTTATTTTTGGTCTTGGGTTAATAGCTGCCATTTAATATTCTGCCAACTCCAGTGAATCACAGATTCACACTTTTTAAATTTAAGGCGCTTTATACAAGAGATAGAAAACAGCAGTGATTACCATGAAGGCCGACATATATGGTTATATATACTGTACATATTTGGACCAAGTTGGTTAGTCACTAACTCAGTGGTAATTGGTTTGTTAGCTGGTAGTTATTCAGCTTTGAGTTAGTAATAAACATATAGAACTCTTGTTAAAGCCAGCTAAGATCTTGCTAACAATGGTAATGAATATGTTAATAGGAAGAAAGTTGTTAATGGTTGAATCTGCACAACCTTTGACTTTAAAGCTCATTTAGATCTTGTACCAAGTTACATTTCAGAACTTTTAACCCCATACCAACCCTCCTGCAGTCTCAGATCCTCAGGAAGGTCCCTGTTTGCTGGTCCAAAGTCCAGGCTCCAGACGAAGGGTGATCAAGCCATTTCAGTCCGGGCGCCTCGGGTTTGGAACGACCTGCCTGAGGAGAAAAGGCTTGCACCATCAATATCATCTTTTAAATCACTTCTTGAGACTAATTTTTATTGGTTGGCCTTCCTTTAATTGGTTTGAGATTAATTTTATTCCTTATTTATTTGTATTCAATTTCTTTTTATTTATTTATTGTAATTTATTGGATTGTTTGCTATTTTTATGCTTTTTGTATTGTTCTTTGCTGCTTGTACAGCACTTGTACTGCACTGTAAACCTTGTTTTTAAACGTGCATTATAAATAAAGATTTATTATGATGATGATTGTTGCAAATCCAACTTGAATTACCTCTTTTTGCATCAATTTGACCTTAAAGTTGCACTGTGTTACACATTGCATGTTATTACTGTGTTGGGGTTGAGGTTGCCAGGAATGTTCTACACTATGAACACACACTGAATTTATTGATCAAATATTTATTCAGTTATCTGTGTTTTTATTGTTCAAAAATACACTGAAAAGGGGTGGCTTGCCTCTTCACAGATCTGACCCATAATCTGGCCTGGTGGTATTCTTGT